AAAGAGAAATGACTTATTGAGCCACTGAAGCATCTACAACTCTCGTGAAAAGATACCACAATACAACCACGAGTCCATTTTGGCTAAAATCACAGTTTTCAGCCAAGAAATGCACTACCTGAGTAGGACAATTACTCCAATTTTCTTCACTTCCGAGATTCTGGAAGGGCTCAGAAAAGTGTTTGTTTTTACTGTGACTACATCTTGAATGTTTCAAGACTTTGTATTTTTCCCTTCAAGGTTCAATTCTCACAGCTGTAGGAGGCTGGCATCCACATAATTGGCTTCAGAAGTTCCTCCGGGCCCTTGATATATCTCCTATGGCTAATCTCGCTGCGAGTAATCTCCTTCGAATATCCTGTTCACATGAATTAACTTGATTAACAAGCAAGGCTAACACAAAACCTCTTTAACTTGCTGACATGATTCTCCTTCCACAAAATCGGTCAATCCTGTTGTTTTGTTCCAGCCATTGCTTTCATGTTAAGAAGCAAACTCTTTTCCTACTATGCCAAATCCATTCTCCAGGCAGTAACTGGTAATCAAGGTTATGCCATCTCCGTACCCGATATTACTGATCTGTTTCTTGCCTTAAAAACCTTACAGGGCTTTTCTCATCATCGGTGTCAGGATGTTGACTAGATTTATTATACCTGGCTGCAAGCTTTACTCCTCCAATTTTTACACCAATTTCTGAGTTATGGCTTGCATACAAATCCATGCAAGTTGAACAGAAAGCTCTTCTCAAGCACAGGGAGACACAGCTTACACCCTTAATCACTCAAACACGTACCGAAAGTTAACAAAGCAGTGCCTGCCCACCTCCTTATGCTTCCATGGGGCTATGCCTCTTTCAGGCTTGAATCTATGCACTATTTTATCTCCAAAAGATCTGCAGAAGAAAATAGTTTCCCTGAAGCTCTATTGACTCTGAAACTACCAACTGGTAGACAGTGGATGCAAAGGTAGTTGAGCTTAACCTACATCTTAACCCTATTAAGTTTTTAGTTGTCTACTTACAGTCTCCTCCTATCTGTCAAGGTAATCATGGGGCAGATGACAGATGGACAAGTATCATGAGAAGGTACCAGGAAACAATCAGTAAAGCATCACTACCTTCCAGTCTTATTTATGGAGATGCAAAGTATCTCACCAACAATCCATTGTAACAACAGTTTCTCATATAGTTATTAAACAAAAGTTGCTAGGCAGGTAGTTTATAATGCAATCCTGAACTTTGAAGAATGATTACAAAATAAAACAGATTAAAACCAACAACCAAAAGAACCCTGAAATGTACCGAAGTTCTTTAAATCCAAACTGTTCATCAAATGCTCCAGAGGACAAACATAAAATTGGAATCACTATGTCACCATTAAAAAGCCATCACTGGGGAGTGGGGGTGTTACAAAGCATAGACAGGGACCGAGTTTCAAACTAGAACCCGTTTGCTAACTGTTCCCTGTTTTACACAACTCCTCTGTCTGCCCAGTTCTTCCAGATTGACAATTATTCAAACCTGGCTTTGACCCTTTTGTGTATTTAAACCTCCTTTCAGACTGACTCACAATCAGGAACTTGGCTGGGGACAAGGCATAATGCATGACATTAAGTATTACTTGAATGTAATTAAAAATGTGCTAATTATCCAAGGCACTGATTCATATGAAAAGAGCCTCTAAGTGACAGGTCACTGTGCAGCTCCCTCCACTAAAGATGTGTCATATGAGCTATTCAGACCAGGGAAAGCAACTTTAGTTTATCCCATTGTACTTAAAAAAAGGCAAAAAAGCATTGTATTTAAAATTCAGCAATGAGGTTGGACAACGCAGGGATGTAACTGGAACAAAATGCAAAGTGAGCTGTGCTCCTCCTTCTACTGTTCTCATGTCCAAGCAGCACATCTCCTTCCCCGCCCATGTGTGTGGCCTCAGGGATGAAGCAAAAGGGAGAAGGACTTTACATGTGTCCCAGAATCAAAGGCATTAGGGGAAACAAAAAGGTTGAAAGATTTCAGCTTCCTGTTGCACTCCTTAGCTCCCAATTAACAGCAATTTTAGTTTCTCTAATTGTACATGTGTGCGTTTCCCCTTCAGCTCCTCTGACATTGGAGAGGTATTGCCTTAGCTTAATTAATAACAACTTTACTTACCTGCAAGGTGGTAAAAACATGGAATCCTTCATGAGCACTGATCCAGAAAGCAGTATATACCAGCATCTTGCAATAGTTTCTGAGCTGTAAGAAGAAGAAATCATTGACACCTACTTTCTTCTTACAGCAACTCTGAAGTATGTATTATCCAAAATGTTATTGATGCAAACTAATGATCTGCCACTCTATCAATTTGATACGAGGACTGGAAACCCAAGAGCTTCCATTGAATGCTGCTAAGTTTTAAAAGGTCTACAACCAACATGTTCCTTCTACCTTACAACTTGACATTTAAGTCAACTGAAATATTTATTTCATTGAAATTAAATTATTAACTTGCAATAAAAACATTTCATTCCAGTTTAAGTGTACATAAAGCTACAAATACAGGAGAATTTTTATCCCATGCTGAACTAGGCTAGCAGTTCAACAAGTGATACTACACGGACCTGTCAGACGTTGCTGATAAAATACAAGACCTGTACTCTGCAAAGACTCCTGCTTTGCATTCCTCCCTCTCTGCGTTTGCACAGCATGCCCCCATGGCACTGTGTCCCACTGTGCCATTTGATCCCAGATGGACAGACAGGGGGACAGCCAATATTTCAGCTTAAAGCCCACAGGTCTGCACAGAGGTTTTACTGCTGTGGATTTTGCCTCTTCCTAGCGCACTGCAATGCTACTTCCCAGCTACAGCCCAACATCCCCTTCCTTTTCCAGCACACAACCACACACATACACGTCGACCTGGTGCTGGAGCGGGCTTGTGTCAAAGACACCCACAGCATGAACTAGTAGGTGGCATCTCATTTAGGCTGATGTACTGGGAGATATGCCTTATATAGAAAGCTGGGATTAGCTGTGAGAGGATAAATACACCATAAGCAATGCTAAAATATGAGGGGGGAAAAAGAATATATTTGCCTCTTGGCAGAAACCTGAAAAGAACCCTGTGCTAAAATACTAATTCTAATGATTTAAAAAGAGATGGTGTTCGAGCTCCATCGCTCCTCTGTACAAGCTGCTCCCGCAGTCAGTGCCAGCTCCAGGGGAAGAGTGCCACCTACTGAGTTGTCACCACGGCTCCCACGTGTGACACTAACTGCTTTTCCATGGACCTTGCCTGTGTACAGACACATACTTATGCTGTCCATGGGAGCTGTGCTGGTAAGGCATGGGCACCTCTCAGACGCCAGCATCATACCACTGGTACAACCGCCTCCTGCCAGAGCTTTTAACCAGCCCGGCCAAGCTTAAATGTTGTCAAGCCTTCTATTTACAAGGAGAAAACAAGTAAAAAGTGAATTATTACACTGTGCAAAGAAGTGATTTTGTTTACACTTTCACTGAAGAACTCCAACAAGTGGTAGGTACTTACCAAAAGAGAACCTGGTTGCCCTTGTACCTCTCATAGCGGGCACTTGATGACATTATTCTGAGAGAGAAGGAGAAGTTTAATTTCAATTTTAATCCCCAAAGACCATAAGCCATTAATCACCACATTTCAGCAGAATCCCTTTAAGGCTTTAAGACCTTAAATTCAACTATTTTTATGTTCTAAACAAAGGACGTGCTTAACCATAAAATTTAAATTATTACGGTGTTCCTCATTATCCAGATCGAGAATATACAGCATGTTCTCTAAGTGTTTAAATCACTCCCACACATTGGAATTACCCATAGCAACAGAACTGAAGGAACTAAAATACTTCCAACGCGCTTTTTGTGCTTTGTTGGCCTTCCATTTTCTGTATTCCAAGATTATCCGAATGTCTGAAGCATTAAAAAGCTTTTGTAATCTGGAGTCAACACTGTCTACACAGGCCTTTGTAGGCAGATGGGAGCAATCTCTGCCTTCGTCCTTAGCAAAGCTAATTAGTTTAAATTCCATGCCACGTTACTGCATTAAGTTAACTCAGCAACGACTTGGCCAATGCACCAAATGCCAGCAGACAAAAGCTTTGCTCATCTCCACAAAAATACAGCCATGGATGCGAGCTGTGCTGAGCAACACTAACTAGCTCCAGAGTACTTACCTGAGCTGATGTTCCCTGAAATGTGAGAGTATGTCCAGTCCATGAAGGAAAGAATAGATAGTACTTAAGTCCTAAAAAGACAGAGAAAAAAAGACAAGACATAAGCAACTTTGTTCACAGCATCTTATCACTTCTGCATGACCCTCTCCGGTTCTGCAGTATGTTACACAGTCGTAGGAGCTAATCCTAGAGACAAAGCTCGAAAGAGTAGATAGGTCAGGACACAAGTAGACTTGGAGAACCCTGCCCACACTTAAGCTGTGAAAGCAAGAAGAGTGAAGTCCAGGTGATGCATGAACACTTACCTGTGTTCTTACTGAAATATCTTACTGAACTAACTTACTGAAAATATCTCTGACAATATTATTTACATGACCAGATACAGCAGCAAGATGTGGAATAAGCCAAACAGGACAGTCCTTGTCACCCAAGGTGAAAAATTGTTGAGACCTTGTAACACCTCCTTAAAGAGGGAAGTTTGCAAGATTAGTTTGCTAGTAGCAAAGAACCCTAGTGAAAACCTAAACCACTCAGTGTAGCCACGATACACGGTGGAGATACACTATTAAAAGTGGAGAACAGGTTTCTATTTATTTAACAGGTTTATATTTAGAGAAAAAAAGCTATTTCATGTTCACCTCAGACCTAGGTGGCAGCCCTACTACAGGCTCTACTCCATCCTACTGCCTCTCTAACCCTAACCAGAGGGTAACAGTTACTCCAATATACTCTTTGGTGAAGATGAAGACAACGAAGGTTTAGATTTGTCTCCCACCTCCTACCACCAAGACTCAGCATCACATCAGTGCCATCATTAGCAACCACAGAAGCAAACAGTGGTTTTGAAGCAACAATATTAGAACGTGAAGATGATTTCACTTTACGAGTTGGACTCCTCGTGGAAGCTGTAATGAGGAGATACAGCTGTTTAAACTTCTCACTCCACAGAATCCTCTCCAGTCACAAAAATATCTGTGCTGATGGTGCAGACCACATGCCAGGGAACAGCTCACTAGGGCTATTCATCATTTAATTTACTGTCCTAAACAGGTGGGCTGGTAGCACCAAATACAGGCACAACAAAACCTTTATACACCCCAGAGCAGTCTCTCCAGCCTGGCCTTGGAAAATATGTTCTGAGTTTTCAAATGCTGCATTTACACCGTGTTTACAAAAGATAAATCAATATGAACGCTGGCCTCAGAATTTACAATGGGTTTACTTTAGGAAAGTTCTTTGGCTTAATAGTCAATGTTTAGAAATATAGTGGCTATAGACTGTTAAATCGAATGAAAGGTCAGACATAATTGCAGGCCATGTAAAACCAATAAAACTCCAGATTTCTCTTTTTTTTTTAAATGTCATTACCAAACCCCATGAAAATTAAACAGAAGGCCTGAATGCTGAACACATACACTTACAAAGCACTCGTTTCACACAGACCAATCTCATTTCAATCCTCCGACTGTGAATTGCCACAAACTTGATGTTCGGAGCGAAACGCCCAAGAGCACTGGCTACGAACCAGACTCCAAACACCGAACTCACACGCAGCCTGCAAGAGATGTCTATCTGGCCACCAAAGGTCGTTTGAGGTATCAGACAGCTCAGGTTTTGAGCTCTCCCCATTCCAAGCAGGGAACGGTTTCAACTTCACCACTAGCAAATACTCGTCACGGGAACGCAGCAAAAATACCCTCCAACTGTACAGGGTCTTATAATAGTATCTTAGTAGTTAAAGAACTTAAGGAGCAACTGAAATAAACCCCATGTTCAACATTGGACATATGCCTCTCCCAGGCCAGAAGAGCCCTCAGACTGGCTGTAAAGGAAGGACAAGCTGTGGATGCTCCCAACTCCTCTTGAAGCTGGGCTACCAGGCAGCTGTGGGGAATTACTGTTCAGTGCTACAATTAAAGCTAAATTTATCAGTCTTCATAACTCATTGCACCTATGCATGCTCTCCGAAACTCTCCAACATTTTTCTACATAATTGAGACTAAGATATAAAAGAATGTCTTTAGCAATACGTTTTAGATGAGCACTTCTGTTGTTTTAAGTTACAGAAAGTTGTAAGAAGAACAAAAGCTTATGTTCACAATTCATTGTGGCTGCCCCATCCCTGGCAGTGTTCAAAGCCAGGTTGGACACAGGGGCTTGGAGCAACCTGCTCTAGTGGAAGGTGTCCCTGCCGTGGCAGGGGGTTGGAACTGGGGGAGCTTTAAGGTTCCTTCCAACGCAAACCAGTCTGGGATTCATGTTAATCCCAGTTTTGAAGTTGTACGCATGTAAAATGACTGCATCCTGACTTGAGAATCATTTTCTACAGCCCCACAGCAAGTTAACGCATTGTGGGGTACCTCCTGCTCTCCACCCGCAGCCAGCTTGACCAACAGGACTACCATACCGACCCAGCACGCTTATTTAGGAGCTTGATGAATAAACAGTTGGCAAACTAAAGAGATAAACATTTGCTTAAAGGGATTCATGCCTGGAAAGCTCAGATGTGGGCTGAGATGTGCAGCAGCAGAGAGAATAGCACAGGGAAGGCAAAGCTCCCTATCCCCTTGCCATGCCAGAAGGCATTTAGTTTACACTGGCCAGTTTAACGTTGATAAATGAAACAAGAACCATCATATTGTTCACTATCCAGCCAGGTGATGTTTCAACAAGCTAAACGTATCAGCTACTCACGCATCAGTTTCTATAGGTGTTTTTAAATCAAGATCTGTATCACTCTCCCTAAAAATAACTGACTTTTAAATCAATCACCTCTTCTAATTAAAGCACAGCAGGTAATTTTGTCGGATGCCACTGAGCACAAGAGTAATCCTGCAATTGCATCTCCCTGGAAGGGCGATGGGCTGCCCCCATCCTCTGACGCACCAAAGGCACCGATCCCATGTCTCATTGAAATAATGCCTTTTTTGTTTAAATAGATCCTTCACAGCCAGCCAGGTGAAGTTCCTCCTCTCCCTCCCATCCCACTCCAAAGCCTAAACAGGGCTTTCCTTGAGGTCCCTTCCAACGTGGTATTCTATGATTCAAGGAGGTTATGTGCAGCTCATCTAGTCCAGTTTTTCCTAAAATTTCCTATCAGTTGTATTTTGCAAAGTTTCCTCCCTTACTCCCATCTCATTTAAGTGCTTGTAATAGCACTGAAATTATGTTTAAGAGGCTTCCTGAGAGTCTTATGTCATATTTCTACAGCCAAGGCACATAATTTAACCCCACCGGGGCTGAAGGCAGCGAGTGGCCAGTGCCGGGCATGCACTGTGGCTACCTCATGGAGAGACACTGCCAGCCCGGCTGCCCCTCGCACCCAAACCCTCCTCTGTTGGAGCTTCAAGTGTTCATTGTTCCAATTCCAGGTTTATAAACCTGAAAATAGGATTGGCAGCTGTTATTTTTAGAAATGGGTTTATGTGGCCACACCAGTTATAAAGAGGAAACACACAACCAGGGTACAAAGGGTAAAGATAATTTACACAGGTACCCATTAGGAATAAAAAGAATGATGCCAAAGGGCAACAGGCAGTGTCACAAGAGCAGAAGACAAAGTATTCGCTGGAAAGTTACCCCTACCATGCAAGAAATCTGGAGAGGAGCTATTTACAGGGGGTTAGTAATAAGACAAGTGGAAATGGCTTTAACCTGCCAGAGGGGAGATTGAGATGAGCTCTTGGGCAGAAGCTCTTCCCTGTGAGGGTGCTGAGGCGCTGGCACAGGGTGCCCAGAGAAGCTGTGGCTGCCCCATCCCTGGCAGTGTTCAAGGGCAGGTTGGACACAGGGGCTTGGAGCAACCTGCTCTAGTGGAAGGGGTCCCTGCCCGTGGCAGGGGTTGGAACTGGAGGAGCTTTAAGGTCCTTTCCAACACAAACCAGGCTGGGATTCTATGATACCCTTCTCTGTAATCTCTTTACATCCTTCTTTCTGCCAAAACCCAACCAAACACATGATTATTAATGAAAAACAATTTCTCCACATGCTCCAAACTAGGGACCAAGATCAACATTATTTTCTCTTGTAATCTGTATTTTCAGAGCTTGTCAGCAGCTGAAATAATAGTTGAAACTAAAGCAAAATATCAACCTTCAGATGGTTTGCCCACATGTATTCTTCAATCTTTGACAGAAAACTACCTTGCGGAGGTTATTTAAGAAGAAATTAACTCACATTTTCTATCCAACTCGCTAAAAGTGCGGCTCCAGTGAGCCAAGGGAATGAGAGGAACGGGGCGAAGAGCGGACGGAAGCAGGCAGGAGTTGTTAATCTTGCAAGGAAGGAGATTTTCTAGACTAAAGGGAGATGCTACATGAACACTGCAACCACAACAACCCTGCACAAAGCTTATTTTCTTAGCAAAGAAATGGATTTTTTATCATTATATTACTTCTCAGTTTATTTTGCCAGTTCTCACAGCTCTGAGCTCAGCAGAGGTGTTCTCAGCCTCTGTTTAAAAACTTGAGTATATCCATTTCTCCATATTCTCCACGTCAAGGAGAATATACACAGTATAAAGTAACGTGCTTTTAAGCAGAACAGCAGAAATCAAGGGATTGCTCTGTGCTGGCACCGTTATCACCAAACCCAGCCATGAGGAAAGCCTGGCCCAGCACCGATACACCAGCAGCCCCAGCTTCATTCAGCAGCAGCTTTTATCATCCCAGCACACACATCCTCTCCCAACCAGCTGCTAAACCAAAGGTGGTGCAAAACCATGGAGATTGTAGTAACAATATGTTACATAAAATCTGCTTTTTTCTATGGTAACATTCTCACCCCAACAGACTATGAAAGGAGCCACTTGGATAACTGGACCACTTCTCATTTTCCCTGCCAGATGCCAACTCACGTAATTACAAGATGCTACTACAAGATGCCACAACTGTAGAATAAGGGAAAATAAAAGCAGCACACCAAGCAATACAACGGCCTTCCTTCTATTAAACCAGGACACTTGCTGAAACAGAGTACTGCTGTCCTACGGCTAAAGTGACTTAGGCAGCCACCTTTGAAGTCTGAGTTAGCTTTAACAATTCAATGTCCACCCTCATGAAGGAGTTTATCC